GTGAAAAACCGAACGCCGATTTCAGATTTGGGCACTAAAAACGCGTTTCTGGGTTTGGCTTGAAGGCGCGTGCGAGGAGGGAGAGGAAACTCCTGTTTTCTAGGTCAGGTCTCCTCTGGTTTTGAAAGGGGGGCACGCTGGGGGGCAGATCCTGTGCTTTGCCCCCAGGGCGGTTAGTGAAACTCCTAAACATTGGTGAAGGGGGCACAGATGCTGGCGAAGAGGTTTCTCTGCCAGGAGCATAGAGCAGAATTGCGCCGTGGGGGGCTTTGGCGATACGCCGCTTTTCCCAAAGCTTAGGTGGGATCCTTGGAATCCCGGAATCGTAAGGTGGGAAGAGAGCTTGGGGGGCCCCTAGTCCACCCCCTGCCCAGAGGGACGTGATTCCCGGCATGGGGAGAAAGGCACCAAATTGGGGAGAGGGGTCATTTCACTGCCGTGAAAGTGAGCTCCGGTTGAGCTCTGCTTTGCTTCGGCCCCGTTGCGTGAATGTGGCCCTCGGCTCTAAATTTTTCGGCTTCCAAGTCCCCCGAGCGCCCCACGGCTGGATCACAGCTCGGCTCCAACAAAACAGCTTCCAGTCTTCCTTCTTCGGTGCTTTTTGGGTCGTGCCTATCAGACACTCTGCCTCCCCCCCGCCTCCATTAGTAGACCCTGCCCCAACGGGGGTGGGGTGGATGACCTCAGAGGTCCCTTTTGACTCGAGGATTCGGTGATTCCACCAAAGGACCTCTGGCTTCCCTCTCCTGCATTCCCAAGCCGTGCGTTCCTTCCAGGGTAATATTTGCAGACGGTCCGCCTCGCGCAGATCACAAGAATTGTGCTGGGTAGAGGTTGGAGTGTGGGCTGGCCCCAGAGTTTAAATCCATCATTTTCCTCTCACTTTTTGGAACAATGGACTTTCGGCTTTTCTTTTCTCACCTCTGAGAGTCAGAGATGTCTCCCCCATGTTTACATAATGGGTCTCTTTGGCCTGAGAGCTGCAGGTTCCCGTCTCGGCAACTTTGCCCCTTACAGGTTTGAAACATCCTGGGCAAAATCCCTTGCATTGGGGGTATGCCAGCCTCCCTCATGGATGCCACCTGTCTGCTCCCCGCTGATGCTAGCCATGAAAAGCTTTCCGCCCTCAGATTCGCAGGACACAACACACAAGGAAGAAGCAATGGGGAGGGAAGAGGAAAAAAAAAACCTTTTTGGACTTTTTTAATTTGATCGTTCTTCTCTTCCAGAAACATGGGCCATCACACAATGTCTGTAAACCCTGGCTTGTCGGTCCGTAGGTGGGGGGCTCCCCCTCCTCTGACACACCCTTGATGGCGCTGCCTCTCCAGTAGGATGCCTCCCCTTCCTATTTTCTTCCTGGTACGCCATCCTCACCTGGCCTCCCCAGCTGGGGACCCCACCTTCCATCATGAATCATGAACAGAGCCTCCACAATAACGCGGTGGCCTGGCTGGTGTGTTCGGGGCTGGCTGTCCTCGCCAACGCCTGGGGGATCCTCAGTGTCAGCGCCAAGCAAAAGAAATGGAAACCTCTGGAGTTCCTCATCTGCACCCTGGCTGGGACGCACATCCTTAACATCTCCATCCCCATCACCATGTATTCCGTCATCCAGCTCCGTCAGCGGCACTCGGACTACGAGTGGAACGAGGGCCTTTGCAAAGTCTTTGTCTCAACCTTCTACACCTTGACATTGGCCACCTGCTTCTCCGTCACCTCCCTTTCCTACCACCGGATGTGGATGGTGCGCTGGCCGGTCAACTACAGGTGAGACGTCTTGGTTGAATACAGATCCGCTGGGGAGAAGTAAGAGGACAGAGGCTGTGTAGGCCATCTTGAGCTCCTGACACGGATCTAAGTAGTTAAATAAATAAACCCTTCTAAGATATTTCTGTCTATCTATCCATCCATCTATCCATTGACTATCCTTTCATCCATCATCTATCCATCCATCCATCCATCCATCCATCCATCCATCCATCCATCATCTAGCCATCTATCTATCAACTAGCCATCCATCCATCCATCCATCATCTATCCATTCATCCATCATCTATCCATTCATCCATCATTTATCCATCAGTCCGTCCATCCATCCATCTGTCCATCCATCCATCCATCTGTCCGTCCATCCATCTGTCCGTCCGTCCATCCAAGTACTTCTTTGCCATAGGAATTTTAGGGGATGCTAGTAAATATGCACAAGCATGGACTTATATGCAGGTGGTCCTCGTTTACAAACAACAATTGGGACCAGCAACTCGGTCATTGAGCAAAGTGGTCACTAAGCAAAACCACGACTGTGCTTACAGTCTTCCTTCAGCTTTCCTTCGCTTTACTGACCTGCAAAGTTTGTAAATGTGAGGATTGATTGCAAAATTACTTTTTCATCACCACTGTAACTGCAAACAGTCACTAAACGAGGCAGTCGCTAAACGAGGACTGGCTGTATACTCTTCCATTTAAGGAATCTCACTCCTAAGAACAGGAGATCCAAGAGACGCCTCAGAGGAGGCTCCAGGCAAGGCCAGAGGCTCATGCAAGAGATCTTCAGTGGGAAGATCTCTCTGTCAGCTAAAGATAGTTTGAGCCAGGGAAGGGCAGAAAAATTTTCCTGCGCTTCCTCACTTCCTTGTGCCCTTTGAGAAAAGAAAATTTCCTTTGCAAATGCATGGCATGTCTTCCAAGGAAGAAAAGAATTTGATGATATTTTCCTGGGTGCAGGGCAGCCCCCTCTTACTTTTTTTAGCAACAAGAGGACTGAGCAATTGTCACGGGTGAGCCTTGCATTATACAGTCCATCTTCCAGAGGCCTGCAGCCTTCCCAACCCTTCTGTTCCATCCTCAGGGGTACCCTGGGCTTTTTCAGGTGGGACAGCATGATCAGAAAAAGATGGAGAATGAGACAGCCTTACCAACAGCAGTTCCCTCAGCCCTCTTCAGCAGTCAAGCCATCTCCAAAACACCCTCAAGAGAAATTTGGAGGAAATTTTCCAGCTCCCTGAGAAGGAGGTAGAAAACGAGAAGCCTCTTCCTCAAGGAAGGAGAAAGCAGACGAGTCACTGCGTAGCGTTAGTCTAAGCGACAGGGCATCGCGTCAGTTCTTTGGGGGTCCCACTGGGGTCTTTTTCCCTTCCTGCAGATTAAGCAATACTAAGAAGCAAGCGGTCCATACGGTGATGGGCATCTGGATGGTGTCCTTCATCCTCTCCACGCTGCCGGCCGTGGGCTGGCACGACACCACCGAGAGATTCTACGCCAGCGACTGCCGCTTCATCGTCACCGAGATCGGCCTGGGCTTCGGGGTCTGCTTCCTGCTCCTCATCAGTGGCAGCGTCGCCATGGGGGTGGTCTGCGTGGCCATCGCCCTCTTCCAGACCTTCTCTCTCCAGGCCGGGAACAATCTGGACAAAAACAAGTTCAACGTGCCCACCATTGTGGTGGAGGATGCCCAGGGCAAACGCCGCTCCTCCATAGACGGGTCGGAACCCATTAAGATTTCCCTGCAGATCACCTATTTAATCACCGGCATCGTTTTCCTCTACGACTTCCTGATGGGGTTTCCCGTCTTGGTAAATCTGGTGCCCACGGGGGATGGGAATTTATTGTACAGGGTGGGTAAAGCTGCTGACAACAGTCTAGCATGGGGCGGGAGGCCCTGTGGTGATCCAGATGCTTGTGCCCCAAGCAGAGACCTCGAGGAGGACGCAACCAGGGTGTCCTCGGCTTGTTTACATTGCTTGTAGGCTGGCTAGAAAGTCGTCCGGGTTTGGTCTGCCCAAGCCAGCATTAGCTTTACATGCTAAGCAATTCCCGTGCAGGTTTATTACTCCACCATTCCACAAACCTTAGAATAAATTCATAATTTATAGCCTGCCTTTCTTACTGATCAGTACTGAATTGATTAGGATCGATTCCAGCCGGGCCAAATGCACACTGGTGAGATTTATTTATATTTCTTTTTATCTATATTCATAATTTATAGCTTGCCTTTCTTGTTGATTAGAATTTATTAGAACTGAATTGATTAGAATTGATTCCGGCCGGGCCAAATGCACACTGGTGAGATTTATTTATATTTCTTTTTATATCTATTAATAATTTATAGCCTGCCTTTCTTATTGATTAAAATTTATTAGAATTGAATTGATTAGAATCGATTCCGGGCGGGCCAAATGCACACTGGTGAGATTTATTTATAATATCACCAATGTATATATATTCATGTTCATATTCATAATTTATAGCCTGCCTTTCTTACTGATTAGAATTGATTAGAATTCAGTTGATTTAGAATTGATTCCACTTTTTGATTAGAACTGATTAGAATTCAGTTGATTTAGAACTGATTCCACTTTTTTCTGGAGGCTCAGAAAACTTGGTTTCCTTGACACCCCCTCTCCTTTCAGGTGGTCAGTTTTGCTAGTTTAAAGTCGGACGTGGCCTACGACTGGATGGTCTTGTGTATCCTCTGGTGCTCAGTGGCGCAGTCCCTTCTCTTGCCATTGTTCCTCTGGGCCTGCGACCGCTACCGAGCTGATGTCCGCTCTGTCTGGGAGAAGTGCGTGGCCATCATGTCCAACGATGACGGGGGGGAAGGTGAGCGTGCAGCTCCTGAGAGTGGTGGGACAGGTGCCCTCAGCTGTCCTGCGAGGTGGCCTTTCCCACCTGAAATTCATTGCTGTCTTGGTTGCATGGAAGACACATGAGAATCCACTCTGGCCATAGCAAGACATAGATGGTGTCAGCCTTTCTAGGTAGACCAGCTAGAAAACACAACCAGATGAGCTAATTCTACTTTATTGTAAAGCTACATTGACAGAAACTTGCAAGTCTGAAAGGACAATTCTCCCACTATCTCCTTTACAGCCCGAGAAACTAGGGAGGGTCCCTTCTGAGCCTTTTTCTCCACCTATTATGCAGCTGTGGGCTACGCCCTCTCTTATTTGACCGTTCCCTAAGCAGCATCTCTTCGCCCCATCTCCCAAGATCTTTCCCACATACCAAATAGCAACAGTGCAGAATTCACACACTCAGGATTTGCCTGAACAGACTTGTCCTGTGGTTCCCGAACTGCTTTCCCCAATCTGGTGCCTTCTGGTTACACCGGACTCCAGTTCCCATGATAGGCATCCTGGATAGCCGTCTGTCCAAAAGGAGATCCTGCACTGAGCAGGGGATGGACTAGAGGACTTCTGAAGTCGCTTGTCTGAGATGGGCGGCCCTAGAAATTGAATGAATGAATGAATGAATGAATGAATGAATGAATGAATGAATGAGCAAACTACAATTCCGTGAGATGACCCCAGTCTAGCAAAGTGGCTTCATATCAAGCCCTCGGTCTATTTTATCCTGCTTGTTACTGCCCGTGCTGCCGTGCTGAGGGAAAAGGATCAGGACTGAGAACCAGAAGATGTCTTTGGGGTCAGAGGCTAAGCAACGCTGCCTGCAACGTCAGGAGGGCCTTTGAGGGGTCTCCCAGGGACCTATTTTTAGTCATCCCCCAGTTTCCGTAGGGAAAGCAGGGCCCAACCCAAGTCAAGTCGCTTGCAGAATGCGCAAGGGTGCTTCGTTGTCGTGTTGGGGAAGAGTCCTGTGGGACAGAGAACCACTTATGGTGGCCCAGCTGGGTCTAAATGAGAGCCAGCAATGGTGGACCAGCGTCTTGGCAACCCCCATGACCCCTGGTCTGGTGGTTCCACCAGTTTAGCTTCAAGTTCCAAATTTCGCAACTGACTCTCACTGTTTATCTCCCATCCTTTCTGTCCACCCGGGACCCCAGAAACCAGTTTGGACCGGCCGATTCCCACCGACTTGATGTACTCACATCCCTACCCCGACAACTTTTCCGGGGATGTTCTCACTCTGGACCAGATCACCAACTATGACCTGGAGAGGGGGGTCCCCCAGGTCTACCCCGCGAAGCCTCTCCTGGAGGACAAGATGCAGTATCTCCAGGTGAGAGGGTTTGGCTGGGCTGGGGAACGGGCATCGCCAGGTGGGAAAATGCCACCAAGGTTTCGCGTTTCCCATTTCTGCGGTGTGGTAAAGGGAAGCCTACTTCCAGGAGATCAGCTCCAAATTTCCAGCAGGCAGTCTTCCAAGCCAATAGTCCTCACCCTGTTATTGGTCCCTGGTATATTTTATTCTGAGGTATACTGCCTCTGACTGTGGAAGTTCCACTCTTAAATGACCTTCTCATCTGCTACCAGTAGAGTGCTTTTCCCATGTGCAAATTAATTTTCACTAGTGCCCATGATGAATTTAACTACGGGAGATAATTGTTGGACTACAGTTCCCATCAGCCTTGGCCAGTATGGTTAATGTCTGAGCATATCCCTAATAATAAATAAACCAATAACAGTTGGGTGCTGCAAGTCCTCCAACTCCAATCTGTGTGCATGAACATTCCTGCCAAAGGTCTAAGCAGTTCCACTTGTATGCAGAGATAGAGTGTCCCTGTTCATGGAGGATTCACTCCCACTGCTGCGGTCCCACTTGCTGTCAGCCAGTCTGGATACTGAAGATCCAGAGAATTTAGGGAGACATTTGGTGCCATGGGACAAAAAGCCTGGCGAGTGCAGGGAGAGTCAGGGAAGGGAATTTGGTTGTGTTTTTAGTTTGTCCTGTATTTCTTTCCTGTTTCTTTCTGTTTTGTTTTTTTGTTTTTTGTTTTATTTTGTTTTTTCCTACTTCCATAAAACTTCCGTAAGGTAGAATATTTGCCGTAAATAAAAAGAAAATTGAAACGACGCAGTAGGCTTCCCGTCCTTTCTCCGCTCTCTTGCAGGTCCCTCCCACCAGGCGTTTCTCCCACGACGAAACTGAGATTTGGACAACCAGCCAGATTTCAGCCTACTTCCAGCACTGGGGAGCTGGGGAGGACCTCACTGCTGAGCTGGCGGGCCTGCTGCTCCCTCAGCCTCGATACGACCGGAGAAGGAGCAGTATCCTCTCCTACCAGGAGGAACGGCGTCCATATCGCAAGCGCCGGAAGTCCGCAGAGAGCACGTTGTCCCTCAAGCCGTTCTCCTGTGAGGATGTCCACCAGCAGGGAGGGTACAAGTGCTTCAGCAAGGAGGAGGTGATGGATTTCATGGATGACCCCAGCCCCCTTCCCACCCCGAGGAGAGCGCCCTTGCGGTCCGCCTCGGTCTCCCTCCTCCCAGACGTCTTTCCACGCTGTTCCACCACCATGGCTCTCAGCAACTTCCCCTTGACCACTTTTGAGCGCGAGCCCCAAGTCTTGCGGAGCATCTCAGTCCAGGGACGAGGGACCTCGCTGGCGGTGCCGGCCCCTCTCGTGACTCAGGAGGACGTGCAGATCCTCTTCCCCAAAGGGAGCTTGGACATGCCTTGCCACGAGCAGATTCACGTGGAGCTCTGCGAGACTCCCGGGACAGAGGACCGTCCCGTGAGCAGCAGCTGCGCCACGTCAGAGGGTTTCCGGACAGGTCTCAGTCCCTCCTGGAGAGGCCAAGAGGACCTACGGAAAAATGGGAGCAAGGGAAGCACGAGCAGCTTTTTGAGTTCGCCCTCGGCCTCCTCCGGATACGTAACATTCCACTCGGATTCTATCGGCTCGGCCTCGTAGACCCCAGGTGACGGGGAGTTGTTTCGCACGGGCATCTTCCAGATTTCTTTCTCCCTCCACAAGATTTCCTCCTTGTTGCTTCTGGATTTGGTCACAGGGACTGGACAAATCACCAAAGAACCTTTACCCCGTCTCTCGTCCTTGTCGTGAAAAGCAGGAGCGAGAAGATAACTTCTGAGAGCCACCGTTGTACGAAAAAGCCCTTCAGATCCAGACGGGTCCCATCTCAAGAGCGGGGTATGTCCTCCTCTCTTCCCGTCTACTGCAAGAACCCACACAGCTCGTCCAAAATTGACAGACTTTTTTTTGTTCCTAATCATCTCACATCCTCTCAAAGTACTTTCTAGGTAGATGTTAACTGTGCATGTCTTTCCGTACTGGTCTTTCCGTGTTGGAGCCCGGAAGCTGTTGCCAAAAACGGAGAGCTGATTTTCCCCTGAAGAAACTGGGCGGGGGAAGAGCTCCAAATTTCTCAGAGTCGCTGTTCTACATTCCAAGAGACCCCTCTGTAAGTGGCGGGTGAGACCCCCGCATGGTCTGTTCTTCCGGAATAGCGTCACGTGGGGACTGGGCCAACCCCAAGACGGATTGTTCCTCTCCCATCGTGGTGGAAGCTGCAGCTGAAAAAGGCGGGTGGGGGGAAGCAAGTCCAATCTAGGTGGGGAAAATTCCTTTTGGCTCGTCCCCCGGGCCCCTAAGCGAGAGAACTCACCACCCTACCTCCTTTTCAGTGCCAAAGCCTTGCCCCACATTCTGCCCCATAAAATCCCCTGGAATGCAGCAACGGAGACCGCAGGCTTTCCTTTGCACGGTCCTACCCAAGAGCAATACAAAAAACGGCGCAACCCCTCCGGGGAGGCTGTTGCAACCCATGACAAGCGGTGGGGCCGCTGCCCTGCAATGGGGGGGAATGCCTGCCTCACATAGATCTGGTTTTGAGGGGGACCAGGGGGGCATCATTAAGGCACTTGGTAGAACAGACTTTCCACGTTGGGGATCCAACATTTACCTTTTCTTCTGCGTTTGGGCAAAGCGTTCTTCCCTGTCTCCCGCCCGCCCTGCGCCTTCTCGAGGGTTCCTCTGCGCCCTGGCAGAACTGGTGCTCCCGGGAAGCACCCCACCCCACCCCACCCCTTAGATGCTTGGCACCTGGCCAGATCAGTGCAGGCCAAGCAAACGGACGTTCCTGGTTGAATCCTCAGGCTGAGGTGGGTGCTCGCATGTCTTGATTGAAAAGGGGGGAGGGGGGAAATTAGGGGCCTGGGAAAGGAATGGGAACCGAGAGCAACGGTTGTTTAATATTGTACAAGACCTAAGCATTTCAGTTTTGTTTTCCCGCTGTAGTTGATTAAGTGGTCATCCTGCCCAGATCGTCCATTTTTGGTCCGAAGAGAAGCTGTCCTTTTACGGATGGAGGTCTGCATGCAAAACGCGGGGTCCTGCCCCCACTCCTCCCACTCTCTCATCCACATCGGCTTTCCCCATCATTTTATCCTCAGCCCCGCAGTCCCCGTCTCCCCCCATCAGGCAGGGGGGTCTGAATTTGGGGGTGTCGGCTGAAATTGGAGCTCCCACCAACACTGCTGACCTGTTTGTCTTCCCCAAACGGGGAAAAAAAAATTCCCCAGATAGTAAACTCATCTAGGATACTGTGCAAGAAGAAGCAAAAGACGGGGTGGGGGGTTCAAATGAAGAAATCCTGGGCAGGAAAAGGAGCAAGGAATATTGTGGAGGTGCACGGTCTTCTCACCAGCCCCCCAAAAGGCTTTGCCACAGCAGAGGCACCCCAGTTCATGTGTGGGTCTTGTAACCCAGCGTTGCTCAATCCCAGCCACTTTAAGATGGGTGGACTTCAACTCCCAGAATCCCCCAGCCCGCTGGGTGCCCCTCTTTCTTCTGCGCTCTATGGTTGGGAGCACACATCCTGATCCCCAGGGACTTCCATGAAAAAGGGGAACCACATCGTAAATCCCCAAACCATCTTTATTTTCTTTTTGGTTCGTGGTCTGAGCCCCCACAGAGGGGAGGGGAGTTTGTGGGTGAGATTCTATGAGAATATCCCCAAACTGTAGGATAACGTGGGAATTTGCAAAACAAAAACTCCAAATGAAGGCAATAAGAAATCATTTCTACTCAACTGTACCCATGAAAAACATTTTACCTGAGGGGGGTATCATCCTCACGCCAAATCTGGACAAACTGCGCAGTTTCTGTTGCTCTTAGCTTTCTTTTTAACTTCTCACTTTCACCAGCAAGCCCTGGCATCTCCTGATGGCCTCCCGTCCACGGCCTGACCACATTTCACCCTGCTTACCTTCCAAAGCTTCGAAATAAGACCGAGGCAAAGATTGCTGTCCCTGATTCCTCTCCCTAGAGCAGAAAAAGGCAGAATGTGCTGTTTATATCTGCTCAGTTTAATTCTGTTTTCCGTGGCTCAGAATGGCATCTAAACTCTGTGTGTGTTTATCGGTGCAATTAGACATTTCCCTTTTACAAAGAAAAGTCCAATTTAAGAGCAGTTGAACTCCAGAGTCCCTAAATCAACTTTGACACTGGGTTCATTCCCTCTAGGAGTGAAATGCCAGCACAGTTCATCCTATTCTGTTTTTTGAACTATTAAGCTGCTAGTCCTCATGATTCTTCTTCCAAGCCGGCTTTTGGCCGATGGAGCGTTTCGCTTTCTCGGATCTGCCTTCGGAGACAGATCTGATGTCGCACTTTTTCCCAACGCCAGTCTTGGGTTGGCGTAGCCCCCATCCATTCGGGACTTCTGTGCTTCCTGCTCTTCTAATGTTTTTAATTGCAAGGAGGATTTTTTAAAGAATAATTTCAGTGCTGGGAAAGTGGCCATTTTTGGATCTCAGACCTCGGCCCATGTCATTTAGCCTGTGGAGGCATCAAAAGGAGCTTTTTGGCCATGCCTGAGCTCGACTGCCCACCCGACCCATCTTCTGCGTTCGCACAAGACGTCCAACCCTCAGTGAACCAAACAGCCTTGCCTTCGCTTCCCCCCCAAAAAATCACCGAATCTTGCTAGATCTCATCATCAGAGGGCGACCTTCTAGAAAAACAAAATTATGCAGAATTTCCCAGTTTTTCCCAACGTGGCACCCCTCCTCTGATGTACCAATCAATTTAGACAGCCGACCAACACGGGAACGTGGCACGTTTGCTGTCTTGGCCCGTCCTGTCCCATCTCTTTGATTGACAGGAACTGGACGAAGTTTGCGGCAAATTGGGTAGATCACGTTCAGTCTGCAGGAAGAGAGAGTCCCAAGTAAAAATTCGATGCCACTTCTCGGTCATTGTTTGCCCCCAAACTTGCTTTTCTTGTGAACACATCTACTAACGTTCTCCCCAAGTGGTCTGATAGACAAACCACCTTCCAACCAGCTTCTCACGTAAAACAGAATGGATTTGGGTGCCCCCTACTCAGGCAAAGGAGGATTGAGAAGTCAAACTAGGTTAGTTTGGGCTAAATAGAAAACAGAGTTTGTGCGGGTTTCCCGGGTGGCGAATATGGGCATTTAATTTGGATTTTCTTGTTCTGCGGCAATCGAGTTTAGACGCGCCCCCCTCAAAACGCCTCCCAAACATTCATGATGAGGAAACAGCCGCTGGACGTGTTTTTGTCCTGCTAGGTGAGGCACGCTACCCCTGAATATGGAGGCTCCACTTTCCCAATTCTAGTGTTGTAAAGCTGTTCCCCTCCCCATGAACCGTGTAATACCTATGCAGAATATAATCAGGCACCGTGCACAGTTAAGGTTTTACGAAAACAGGAAGCCAGTTGTGGTTCTGGCTCAGGGTTTCTTAAGCCAAGATGGAGTTGCCCTTGTAACTAGGATTATTTGAACAAGCCATTGTAGCCAATCCATTCCCATCCACCCTCCAGTCGTGATAAAATCCGCAAAGCGGAAGAGACATTCTCAAAGGGAATTAAACGCAAACCTCGCAAGCTAAAGGAGAAAGAACTGCCTGATCATGGGTTTCCTTTTGAGAAACCAGCCCAAGCCAACTTAAGTTTCTAGTCCTCATGATTAGAGGATGACGGTGGGCCTAAACTCACACACAAAACTGAGCACTAGGAAAGAGTCCCCAAAAAGGAACCGTGCGGGGCGGTAACATGCCAGGATCGATCAATGGTGCATCTGTCAGAGTGTGAGATTTTTTTTAAAACGTGCCAAGGATCCATTCTCCACAGCAGGCGCCCTCCCCGCCTATTGCTTTAGTGCCAACCCTCTGGAATCCCACCTCCCTGCAAAAAAATAAAATAAAATAAAGAATGTCGTGCCTTTCAAAGGGTTTAAAAATAACCACGCTGGCCATTTCGGATTACTGGGGATAATCCAGCCGGCGAGAGGTTTGGGCCTCTTTTACAGAGAGGGTGGGGGTCTCACGGGGGGGGGACGATGCCGTTGAACCCTCTGTTGTACTGTATCTTTTTAACTCTTTCTGGGGTCACCAGGCAATACTTTTTTTCCAAATGCGTTCTCGGGGTCGCCATATCTGAGAAATGGACTTTTACAGGCTTTCGGCTTTTACAGACTTCGGAGAGATTTTGGCTTGTCCTGTTAGCCACGGGGCGTCTTCGGACCCCCCCTTTTCTGTCCGGCATCGAAGTCTGTGTTCGCACTGTCTCGATTTCCCCATTCCTGCCCGGGCAGTTTTTCAGGGGGGTGCAGAGGACACTTTCTACGACACGGGACCGTGGGTTTGTCTGAAACCGGAACACGTTTTATTCACGGCGTTTTTTTCCCGGACAGTTTTTAGCCTGCTCTCTTTCTTGGTCTCTCTCTTTTTTATGTTTTTGGACCTCTTGAGAATTTCTTCCTGTAAAACATTGAATTAAAAATGGAAAAAAGAAAAGCCCGCCGTGTTGCCTTTCATTGTCTACCCGGAGGGCTTTTGATTCCTCGCCTTATGGGGAGGGAGGTGGCGAGAACTGCCCAGAGTTCAAACTAACCAGGTTTAGTATACAAGGGGGAAAGACCTGCTAGATTTAGGGTTATGCTAGCCACCCAGAGTCACCCATTGGGGGAGATGGGCAGCATGCAAATTTAATGGATGGATGGATGGATGGATGGATGGATGGATGGATGGATGGATGGATGGATGGATGGATGGATTTCCCCCTGATCTGGGTGTGTTGGGTGAACTAAACCCCCAGGGACAGGTGGATTGTCTTCTTGAGCCTTGCATCCCCAGGGGATCCTTGTCATCTGAATCTTAGTTTGTTTCTGGACAAGCCACCAGTTGAGTAGTTCTGCTTTTTAGGAAAATACAACCTGTACTCCTGTGTTCACCCTTCAGCAGGGTTCCTCTCCCCAAAACCATCAGCTTTGCCATCTCTCTCCGTTTCTTACACGCTTTTGGAACACAGCCTCCTGATCTCTTCTGCTATGAAGCCCCAAGGCGGTCAGTTTATTTGGGCCTCGGCCTAATTTATAATCCTAGCTGTCCTGAGACCTGAAATCTGGGTCTCCCTTCAGAGATCTTCCCAATGTTGCAATCAACCACCGGCCGAAGGAGATCCGGTTGAACGTACGGTGAAGGATCGGAGAGGCTGACCTGAAAATGGAGTTTTGCTTCTGGCTCCGGGGCGCCCGAAGTGTCCGCAGAAGGGGGGAAGTATTTCTCAGCTAATTCTATTTTATGGGTTGAAGGCAGCTGAAGTGGGACGGGTGGTGGCATTCCCAAGGACACCAGTTTCCAATTGGAGCTATGCATTGCTGTGACCGGCCACTGGATGGCAATGTTACTCTACAAAAATGCCAGATCAGCTCTCTGGCTCATTTGCTGCCTCAGTTTCCCCTGGTCAAGGTGACCTAGGCCACATTTAGAGGGTGATGATCCCAGGGCCCATCAACCAGATGCTTTTGTAGGCCTGTTGCACCCCATAACTCACCCCCCCCAATTGGTTTGGTTCTGACTCAGGGTATGTGTGAACGTGGCTTGGTCCAGAAGCCTTAGGCCAATCGGGGGATTATTCAAGAAGGATGGACGTGACCCAATGGTGCTTCTTGTCCAACCTGGAAGCCAAACCCTCCTGGAATCCTAGAGTTGCAAGGCTCCTCAGAGGTCATCAAGTCCACCCCCCTGCAGATTGCAGGATTCGTGGCACCGTGTCTGATCCTTGGAGAACTTCAAATGCAGACCACGATTGTGTTCGTGGAGAGATGAACCCGCAGAACAACTGACCCAGTGCAAGTGTCAAGCCTCTGATCTTGAGGAGCATCAAAGCCAAGAAAACTGTATTTTTCTTTTCATTTGTTGCTTTCAGGAAAAAAAACACAGAGAGCAAAAGAGGATGCTATTTTTTATTATTGTTATTCTTCTTCAAAGGAACCGTTTTAACCCCAGAGCCAGATCCAACCGTGCAAAGGGAGCATCGGAAAAGGCTACGGTGTCTTTCCTGAAAGAAGAGAGGCTACAGGAAAAGGGTATCAGTTTACTAACATTTTAATTAGCCCTGAGGGGAGGAAGATCTATGCAGTGAGAAGCTGGGAAAATTTTTTTCTCGATGTCATAAAAAGCTTCCCCTTCTGACGACCGTTCAATGATTGCTACAGGCAGGAGAGCACGTTCTGGTTTTGTTCCTGGTGCATTGGCAACCTCCATTTTCTCAGCTGTTACTTCTTTTTCAAGAAGAATTCACCGGCAATAGAATTCACACGCACCAGACCCCCGCAACAGCTTTGCATAAGGCAGGAATCCAACAGGTACAGCTTTGCCTCTCATTGTTTTTCCCAGCCCCAAAATGTTTCCCTGGCAGGTTCCGCTAATGCCCTAATATCAAATAAAGGGAAAACCTTTCAATGTATGTTTTGGATACTGGTGCCAGGGCCAACCCACCTAAGGACCAGCGTGAGTTTTACAAAATGAAATCCCCTGTCCGCATTCACACGTTGGGCTAGACCATCGTTGCTTTAACAAGCCGTATTGCGTAGAAGGATAAGCCCCGAATTACAAACAGCATGCCAGAGGTCCCTCTAAAGCAAACCAAACAAAAATGAGAATTTAAAACAAGCCAGTTGTCTAGATTCGCAGGTCAGGCCAAACTTAGTCATTGAAGGAATCTGTTTTCTGGCTTCACACAAGCCAGAACAATCCTCAATGAGTGGGACTGGCTTCTTCCAACATGCTGGGCCCAAGAAGCCAACTCAGATTTAAACTAACCCCGTTTTGCAGGTTGTGCCCTTGGGGTTTGAACTGGCTGGGTTAAATGTGTCCCGTGAACCGGGACACGGAGTTTAGGGAGCTGGGGCCCGAGGTTCAAGTTGGGGAAGGTGGAAGGGAAGCCAAGTGGTGACTCCTGGGCCAGCGGCCAATCCAATGGCCCCCGCGGGAATGGTCGGGCCATACACCACCGAGCCTCTGCAGATTTTCTCAGCATGGAGTGCCCTGCTGGCGAGTCCTGCTTACTCGTGCGTAAATGTGCCCAGGAGCGCAGTCTGGCTCTGCTCCCTACCAGGGTCGCCACAGCTGGGGGCTCCGCTGGAGGACAGCTGGACGGTTCTGCTGCTCGCCGATTGCCCGCCACCGATCTCCCATTGAGGGAAGGGTGCCTTCACCTGCCCAGGCTGGAGCGGAAGGTTTGGGTGGCCCCTGAGCTCTCCAGGGCCCGGGTGCGGGAGGTGCTCGTGGGCCGTCCAGCCAGGCTCTGGTGCTTGTGGGTGGAGGGTCGCTGTCCGTGGTGCTGAAAGTGCTGCCAACCCCGCTGCCGGGCAGAACATGAGCGAGTTCACACAGCAGCTGGGGCCCCGAGCCTTCACCGGGTGCTTCAGGGGGCAGAAGACACTGGCGCACACCTTGCAGGCAGCTCCAGAACCCCGCCTGGTATTCGGCGTTCTTTAGCCCCGGCGTTCCTGGGGAGGAGAGAAAGTGTGAGCTCTCTAGTAAGCCTGAGGAGGCCACAGGGCTCTGCTTTTGGGGGCTCCCCCAGAAAATCAGGGGGGAACAGGAAGAGAAAGTCCCCCAGCAGCAGAGAGGGGAAAAGAAATAGGGTAGCAGGTAGCGGAGTGGTCAGGCAGGCCGAGAGGGAAAACCAGGGCAAGCAGGACCTTCCTAAATGCTACTGTAACCACCCAGGTGGCTTAGTATCACAATCCAACCCCTGGGGATGAAAACAGCTATTCGGTCAATGATTTGCCACCGAATTTGCCTGCTGTGAAGCTGCTTAAGGCCAAGAATAAAGGCAACGGGGAGGGGGGAGAGTAACAAAAATAAATTAATAATTAATTGCATCACATCATTGGGAAATCATGAATAAATTAATGCTGATAATTGTAACTATACTTGCTTAACCCATGCGATGCATACCAAAGTTTACAGAGGATGGGCGTGGCAAGCTGGGGGGACAGAATTCACTGCAAGTTCTCCCTTCCAATTTGCACCCACCCCCTTCTTTTCTCTCTCTTGCACCCTAATTTGGAGGCAGGGTGTTCCACGCAGGGGTGATTTTGAGTTCTTGGCATTGTTAAATGATAGTGCATCTTCCATTGGTCAGGACTCCACCATTTATATGGGTCACAATCAAGATATTATTTTTGGTTGGCCTAAAAGGGCAGCAAAGGTTAATTATTTCCTCCCTCCCTCCCT